TTGACATTGTAATTGGTTAGTGGTTGGGGTGCACAAGTGTGGAGTCTTGGGGGATGGTGACAGTGGGCTTTGTGGGCCAGACATCCCACACGAGGGGACATGTTTCAGTGCACATTGGCTGGCAACGGGCCTCCTTTTTGTTAGGCTAAATCTCTTGTTTTGGAGCCTTGCAATTATGTCAATGTCCCACACGTTTTGCCTAAAAACAAAATATTTTAGGTACATCTTGATAAAATAAAAAAAGGTAAAATAGTCATTAAATTACTTTTAAATAATTTTTGTAAGTGTTAAATTTTTTAGTTATAAAATCATTAAATTACTTTTTAAATAATTGTTTCAAGTGTTAACTTTTTTAGTTATAATAAGTGTAAAATTCAATAAATTTAATAATTATTTTATAATAGTTTAATAAAATTTAATAATTATTTTATAACTTTTAAAAGTTCAAAAATAAAGATAATCATTTAAAAATAATTCAATTACATTAGAGATGGCAACATGTTAGGTTGAGTTGGGTTTTTAATCAATCGACTCAATTCAAAAAATATATACAATCTACCTGAACTCGACCCGACCATAGAAATATATACCTTCCACTCGATCTGGAAAATATATACCATACACCTGAATCTGACATAACCCAATTTTTTAGAGTATAAACCCGACCCGATTTGACCCAACCCGACATAAATTAAGGACCTAATTAAAAAAATATAAAGAGGGTATTATAACAATTATCCATAAATTTATATGAAAAATTACTCTATTACTCCGAGTCAAGTCGGGTCAAAGGTTTTTCACCCTCCCCTCGAATCCGACCCGACTTGATCTAATCCTATATAAAACCCGAACCTAAATCTACTTTTTTTTTTAAAAAAAAATCTCGATCCTATCATTTTGGATCATATTAGAACCTGTCAGTTTCGAATTAAATTATCATCCCTAAATGAATATAATATATTTTACCTAAAATAATATATATATATATATATATATATATATATATATTAATTTTTAGACTCCATAAATAAGTATGGTTGAAATGTGATACTTGACTCCCGTAAAAAATTTAAAACATGTGGCTGATTTTTAGTTTGCTTATAAATTTTTAAAAAAAATTATTATCATTATATCAAGTTTTTTTTAAATATTCTTAACATGTTAATTAAGTATAAAAATTCATTTGAATTCGTTAATGGTGTACAAATTTATTTTTTTCCTTTTCTTTTGTGATTTAATTAAACCTTTATAACTACATTGTATTTTTTCTAATAAGCCTTTTTGTAACTTAATCTAACAGTTATTGTCAATTTGTATTTTGCATGGAAGAGGTCAAAATAGGAAATTCAAAAGTCAAGAGTGCAATTTTGCACATGCAATATATTTAATGTAAGAAAAGGACATAAAGTCAAGTGGTTTGACCAAAGCCTTTATTTTAAACTACAAGATAACATTAGTTACAATTCATAGGGTGGTCCAACGACTACCAATTTCAAAGTGCAAGTAAAATAGATGAGCCATAGAAGACCAAAATGAATTTTTCTTTTTTTTAAAAAACCCCTCATTATCATGCTATAATAAAACAAAATTATACTCAATATGTTTAGAATTTCTCCAAGAAAGCATTGCATTTGCATGTATACATTTAATATAAATATTATTAGTATATTTATATATCTTTTATGTTTATTTTATAGTTAATATTTAAAATATTTTAATACAATCTATATCAATATAATCAAATAAGTAGTAGTTATAAAATATTCATACAAATTCGGAGTTCTGCAACTTGTTACAAATCCAAATAATCCAAATAATAATTATCAAGTTATAGACTAAAGTTCAATTAAGAGTTCTATGAATACATGTCTTTTAAAGTGATCAGATATTATACTATAATATGGAAATGATATAATTCATTAAGTGATGATGCTCATCGACACAATCCTTGATCTACTAACCTACAAACGAAAATATCTGAACGTTGAGCTTTACAAGCTCAATTACATACTTCTACTATTGTATACTTCGTGTATTTTATTAACATAAACATGTTAGGTAGTATAAATGCAGAGGAATAAGTCTAGACATGATTTATGTTTCATAGGCATGTCATGCTTATCAAGATTCATTTATCAATCATCAATTAATGTCATCATTCACAATCTGGTTATTGTATTTATGGTTTATCCACACAATCATATCAATAACAATGAGTTATCTGGTATCACCCAAGAATCATATAATAAATAACCCTAATGCTTAATATTGGTATCAAATAACAATTAATCAATAGTGATAAGATACATGAAATAAATATTCATCAACGTTACATCTAGTAAAGATAATAAACGTACAGTGACATATGGTGCCACAAAGCATGTAAGTAATGAATAATAATGGTAAAAAATGATTATAACACTTGGTGTCATTAAGTAATCAAGTAATATATGATACATGTGGTACTTAATTTCACTAAACAATCAAGTAATAACTCACACCAACATAATGTAAGAAATGATTGCCTGATGCCACTAAACAGTCATGTTGCATAGTCACAGATGTTTGGGTAATTTTCTGTCATATACGATTACACACAAATATATAGATGTCCGTAGGCCATGTATGTCAACAGTTTCCTTTTAAGATCAATCAGTGTAGCTTAACTACACAATCACATCCATTATTTAATCACAAGACATAAGTCTTTTCTCACAAGTTTTTTTATGTGACTTATTCACAATCATAGTATGTCCTTTCTCTCAGAACGTTATGCAAAGGCATTCTAATCTTTTAGTAGTAGACGAGACCTAAAAATATTCATCAAACACTTATGAAGGATGTATTACGCTTAGGAACATTTTAGTCACTTAGCACTAGATATATCTTAAACACTTTAACTTTCAAGGTATTTCCATTATTCTTAACACAAAGTTCTCATAACCAATTAATAAGTCATAATGATAACTTACACATGATATCAATTTAATCCTCACTTTTAATCATTTAAGCTTATAACGATATATTCATGATTTTACTCTTGGTATTTTGGTATTAACAAGAGTTTTTGGTAAATATATATACCTATCGAGGGTATTTTATTCCATTATTATATTTAGACCTCATTTTAAGTTCATCCCTTCATTAACTTTCCCTTAATCAAATTAGGGGTCAAACTAGGCTAAGTTGGCATTTAGTATCGATATTAAACAAAGAGTATTAATTGATACTCTTGGGTAGTATTGATACCAAATTGATAAACTAAAATCAAATCTTTAATCTCGATATCGATTCCCAAAGTTTGATATCGATATCAAAGGGAAAATATCGACACACCTTGAATAGTTTGGTCAGATTTTTACTCTCCTTTCATACAATATTAATACTGTAAGAACAATATAGATACCAAAATCCAAAAATAACATTTTTAATCTCGAAAGTTACTCTCAATAACCCTCTAAATGCTCAATTTAAGACCTTACTCAACTACTAAGACGTATTTGAGTTTGAGTCATTTAGCATCATTTTTACACATATCTAATAATAAAGTCATCAATTTAATCAAAAAACATGTTTGTCACTCGAAACACTTAACATACATCACACCAATAAGCAAAACATTATATTTATAAAATTCAAGAAGCATCTCAAAGTTTAAAATGTACTATCTTGATCTAAAACATCCAACTTAACTTCTTGTGTAGGCTTGAGGAAGAAAATAAAAAGAGAAAGAATGGTGAAATAAGAGAGGAGTAGGTAAGAAAAGGTAATTTTTCCTCTTACTCTCCCTCATGGGAAAATCTATCATGATTATCCTTAATGGTTCATTTACTATTTTGGCCCCTCATTAGTCTTTAATTAAAAAAATTCTCTTTTAAGGTTCAAATAAATCTAATTTTCTTTTGATTAGGCCCAAATTTACCTAACCAATTAATCACGCTCTCAGATCAATTCACATGCATCTCTGGTCAATTCTTATATATTGACTCAAAATTTAAGTCATTACAAATTTTTTTTATATAACATTATCTAATACACAAACCACATATATTTTAATGACATATTTCATATTTCAGTGACATATTTCATATTTAGGATTTATATTTTATATAAACTTGAGTTTTCTCCAACATGATTATTTTAATGACATATTTCAGTTTTGGAATTTATATTTTAGAGTTTAGAATTTAGGGTTTATATTTAAATGATAGAGTTTAAGTTTAAAGTTAAGATTTTAGAATTTAAGTTTAAAATAGAAAATGATGCGAAATAAGTTTTATGTATCAAATAATATTTTCTTAGAAAAAAGGATTGTGTTTTATTTGCTTTTTATCACTTTTGTGTCACTATAGTGGGAACCAAAAGGGTCATGTCATGCCTCCTTGATGTTGATTTATTTTTAATGGTTACCACATGAAGTGGGAAGACCGGATAAGAATGCACATGATGAAAAAAATTGGATTCAATTTCGATTAGATTACGAGTATAGTCAGGATTTATTAATCATCTGACATAAAATGAATTAAAATTTTATTTTCATTGAAATATTAAAAATAATACTTAACATCCATAATTTGATAATCATGTTTATATATTTTATTTGAATCCTTATGTTAGTGAATGAAATAAATTAAAGAAAAATCGTCTGCACTTTTACCATATCCAATCCAGATTATCTAATTAATAAGTCGGATATGAATAGTTATAAAAAAAATAAACCAAAGTAAACACCGTTGCTATGGCATCTTAAAAAAATTGGTGGAGCCTAAGGAAGCAAAGGGGGAGGCAAACAACACAAACTTTCAACATCATTTTAAATATGACATCATCCATGACATCACTCTCGGACACATCTTGGACGGTTGAATGAATACCATCTCCCACTTGGCACAGTCAGAACCGTCCAAAACCCACAAACATAACATCCGGAAACCATATATTATCTTTTGATATAAACCTTATTTTGACCTTATTCTCAACATTTTTTCACATTATTCTTTCAGCAAAAACATATCAAGAGAAAACAAAGGAAGCATAAGGCAACTAAAGAGTGACAAGCAAAGGATTAAAGTCCGATTGGTTTCGAGTTTAGGGTTTTTTCAGGTACCATTAACATATTGAGTAGCGTTATGGGTTCGGAGCGTGACAAGTATAGCACGATCAATTTCGAAGAAACGGAGTTACGTTTAGGGTTGCCCGGAGGCGTCGGAAACGACGGCGAAATGGCGAAAAATAATGGGAAAAGAGGGTATTCAGATATGGCTGATTTGAAGCTTAACCTTTCAACAACAACAAAGGAAGGATCTGTAGTGGATGAAACTGAGAAAATGAAGGAGAAGAACTCTGTTGCTCCTCGCTCTGCTGACCCCGCAAAGTCCCCTTCAAAGTAAGCTACCGTCGTTTTTCTTTTTCCTCTAGCTTTTGGTGGTTCAATATTTTCATGGTTAATCAATCTTTTTTTTTTCTATGTTTTTCCCTTTTTATGTGTTTTGATATACTATTTTTTAGAGAAAAAATAAAATAAAGTGAGCTGTGAGCATGAACAAGAAAGAGTATAGCTTCGAAGTACTTTTTTTTAGAGACGAAAGATTTTGGCCTGCAAAACTTTACGCATGGCTTTGATTTTGAATGAAATAATGCATCTTTTGCGCGAAATACTTTTCGTCGGTAATTTTTTTAAGTGATATTAGATGGCTTTAATATTTTGTCGGGGAAAAGAGGGAAAAGACAAAACATGTGGAATCTTTATTACATTTTTCCACCAACAATACGATAATTCAAAAGGTTAACATGAAAGTGGCAAAGATAGTTTACAGCTAAGCTACCAAAGTTTTTGTTGAATGTCAATGAATTCCTACCAGATTCACATGTTCAATAGTTGATAAATGATTGATGTTCTAATGGTAAATTTGAATAATTTGATTTCAGGGCACAAGTGGTCGGATGGCCACCGGTCCGGTCTTTCCGAAAAAACATCATGACGGTTCAGAAAAACAGCTCCAACGAGGGTGAGAAGGTTGGCAGTGGAAGCAGAAGCAGCAGCAGCACCACAACCACGAACACCGCCGTGCCGGTTGCGTTCGTTAAGGTCAGCATGGACGGTGCACCGTATCTACGCAAAGTGGACTTGAAACTATACAAGAGTTACCAGGAACTATCCGATGCCTTGGGCAAAATGTTCAGTTCCTTCACCATTGGCGACTGTGGAAGCTCACAAGGAATGAAAGATTTCATGAACGAAAGCAAATTGATTGATCTCTTGAACGGTTCTGATTATGTTCCTACTTATGAAGACAAAGATGGAGATTGGATGCTTGTTGGTGATGTCCCATGGGAGTATGTTAATTTCCAAGTTCAATTACTATTTCTACATTTTTCGATTTTAATTTCGAGATTTAAGTTAACTCGTTCTCTGCTATTATTACAGGATGTTTGTCTATTCATGCAAACGTTTACGAATCATGAAAGGATCTGAAGCAATCGGACTTGGTTAGTTACTATTAGTTTTATATAGGTATGTAAGAGTATATAAGACGATTGATTAACTTTTCATTGGAACCTCAGCACCAAGAGCGGTGGAGAAGTGCAAGAACAGAAGCTGATGGTAGTTTCATTACACAATCATCTCGGTTGAGAATCAAGTGTTACAGAGATTTAAAAAAACAGAGCAGCAAACCGGTTCGAGTCGGATTGAGCAGGGAGTTTGAATGTGTTCATCATCAGCATGAAAAAGAAGAAATTATTAGGAGACAAGAAATTAAAATGTCTAAAAGACTTTGTTTTAGTTTCTTCTGTCAATGCATGGCTTGTGTAATAATTAAAAACTTAAAATTATTATTAATGCTTTTAATTAGTTGTCACGAGTTTTTTTCTTCTAATCCACTCCTTATTTTTGTAATATTTTTGCATGTGACTTCTTAGCAAGAAATTTACATGACCAAAAGATGATGACTTGCAACCCTTAACCGCGATCCTGAATCCTTTTAAGTAGAGTGATGTCTTGAAATTACTGAAACACACAAGGTAAATTTATATAGTTTGATGAGATAATCATGAACATAACATTACTTAGGATGACAAGTTCAATGATCGTAGTATTAACATAGCATTCTTTTCATCTTTAACATTAAGCACAACAGTGGTCATGCAATATCATGTTAAATTCATTAAACATAAGCCTGATGGAACACTTTCGAACAATTGGTACACGAATCCTGTTCTCACTTCCGATAATGCATATAGCCAACGTAATGATCAATCCTTCTATAACTGCGAAAGACATAAGTCTGACCAAATCATTAATGGTACCCAAGTCCAAACAATACTCGTATAAACACTATGGATCATATAGCATGCCAATTGTATCTCAAAATCCATAAGCTAACCATGAGTACTTTCAATTTAAAACATAACTTACCATAAACACATTTCATCTCACAGGCTTGAATTAAGTCTGAAGCAACTCTACGACATCATCATATACATATGAATATACATAACATGATTCAATAACAATCAAAAGCCCAAAACTTACCAATCTTACCAACATATCCATTTACAAAAGTTGTCATCCTTTGATGCTCTAGGTGAGCCAATAATGAACATAGAGATCACCTACAAGGTTATGACCTAAAATACATATTAGCACAAAGAATAGGGACTACACTCACCTTAACTGAAGTAGCATGGTTTAGCTCGATTATCCACCCCTGATAACCTTAGCTTTTCCTCTTGGAGTGATGGCTTTCACCGTTCCTTCTTGCACTAGAAAGGTATAAGAGCACTTAATCAACATAAATTCATAAACATAAATGATCAAATTAAGCAAAATCCCTTGATTTTGCTATGAACCCTAACTTGAATCTCATATAGGGTTTTGAATCAACTTACCTAAAACTTGAAATTGACACTACCAATGAAAATTATAGCATACAAATTCTAAATATGTAATCAATTTCTAAATCGGGTGAAAGAAAGGTCTTTAATTTTTAGAGAGACGTTTTAGGGTTATAAGGCTTCTCATGGCAACAATGGAGTTTTCTCTTAGGTTGAAAATGATGACATGCTCCTAAGTCTTTCTATATTTCTTGGCAACTGGGTTTGCTTAATTTGAAGCAAAATTAAAGAAATTCAAAGAAATCACACCATTTAGTCATCCATTTCTCCACCACTTGCAACTTATTATGTTCTAATTAATTACTAGCCATTTAATTTATTCTTTGTTTTCACTTTGACACCTAAGGTTTACCAGTTTCACTAAATTTTTTAAATTCGTCACTTCTTCCATTTTAGTCACTAAATCCTTTTCACTGACTTTTCCAATTGATAGACGTCGAAAAATTCTACACCGATTTTCAGAGTGTTACAAAAATTGTCAAAACAAAAGTGAAAACGATGATTAAAAGTTATATCGTGAGGTTACAATGCAAAAGTTAATACTTAAGTGATAAGATATGTGTGGAATTGAAATTTCGACAAAGCAATAGTTGATTCCTAAAAAATGATTGATTCGAATATCTTTCTTTAGTCAATGTCGTGGTTGTAAAATAAAGTTGTAAGTTCTCCCTCAGTCATGTCTAAAATAGTAGAGTGCACAATGAAAGCAAAATATACATATCATGATGAAAATGAACAGTAAATTTCTAAAATTTCATGTGTGAACCAGTCAGTTGATCAAGTCATTCTGAAAGAAAAGTGTGTGTTTACTCACTAAATCGATGACCTAGTGTAAGCCAGTTTAGCAAAACCTATATGATAATCAAAGTGGTCCTCCATCCGGTTCCTATCAATCCATAGTTCTCTACTGTATCTTTGAGGTCGATCGTTCTGATAGACACCTCTGCAAATTTTGTAAATCTGATGCTCCAGTGTGATCTTATCATTTTTTATGGTTGATTTCATTGATGATGTTTTTGTGTGTGTTTTAAAATTAGAGTGATTCGATAGAGCTCTTTAATGTTTCGACAAGTGAGTGTCTTCTCAGCTTTGATAATTTTCTTCCAATGATTTTTAAAATGATGTTACTTAGTCGATTTTCTATAGAGTTCAATGGCAGAACGAAATCTCGAAATTGTGTAACAGAATCTTGTAAGAGCCAGCATTGTGATAATCCATGTGTATGTCGAGAGAGAAGTTGTTCGGTCTGAGATTGTAATAAATTGAAATCTTAAAAACCAAGATTTATGAATTTGAGTTCCATAACTTTTATTCCATGAATGCTTCAGATGTATAATTAAATTCCTTTTGGTTCGAGTTTTCGGTCGATCAGATGTGTTCAGATGATTTAGTGAGGTGTGAACTCCAGATAATTTCAATGAATATCATTCTAGGTGTCATTAAAAGAAATTCTTATGAACGTTGTTTCCATTTTATCTTAAGCCTTATTTGATTTTTTTTACTCAACAACATGTAATTTTTTTTTTATTATCCCCAGGCTTTGCCTGGGACTAATCCTCCGAGGTACTATTGGGCACTAAAGGTGGGGACCTCTCCCAAGAAAGTTTGCTGCATCCACAAGGGCTCGAACTAGAGACCACTTGCTTAAGCGACCAGAGCCCCTTCCACTCAGGCCAACCTTCGTTGGTACATGTAATTTTATTACCGTGTTTAAAATCACCCCAACCGAGAGCCTCATTAAAAACCCCTCTAGGCCTAAATAGGGGAAAAGTGTACTCCAAGGTTGGGATACATACAACTGGTCCAAAAAATATACATGGGCCCCCATTATGCCAAAACTAGGCAATAACCTTTATAAACATAACGTACAAAACAACACCAGACAGTCAACACAAAAAGAAGCTGATAACAAAGAGCAACCAACATAACTTCATGCTACCAAACAACCCAGTAATCATACTAGATAAAACCAGCTAAGCAAAGCATATAGGCTTTAAACTAAGCAGGGCATATAGACACAGAGTCGAAGACTATCTTACCTACAAGCTTTAAACATTTCTTGTATATTTGTTCCAATCTTTGCGAGGTAATCTGTCATGTTGTTTCATATCCTAGGAGTATATACAAGTTGTACCTTCCATACAGTCACTAATCTTCGATCAATCTCTTCAAATAAAGCTCCCTACCTCCAAGGGCGAATGAGGGAGGAATGAACCCAGTTCAATGTAACTTTTGAATCAGATTCTATAATCAGCTTAGTCTCCCCAAACCAGCTAAACTCATTAAATATCTCTAAGGAATTTTGATAGCTAACAACTCGGCAAAAATCAGAATTAACACATGAGATGGGGGCAAAAAACATTACCACCACATACCCAGCTTCTGATCTTAACACACCCCACAACCTGCTGCATCATTCGAAGCTGCCCCATCCACCTTAAACTTCATCTGACCCATGCAAGGAGGCTGCCAAATTATCTTCAATCTAATCTGAACGTCACTCGAATCAGCGAATGCCCCAGATCATTTCTACCACAGCTTCTCATCTAGGAAGTTAAATTCTTTCAATGCCTTGCACCAAACTAATGCTCTCATATTTGCATAAAAGATGATTGATTTGTGTTTGATATAACATTCAGTTATATTAAATTATTATCCGATCGAAAGTGTTATTGAAGTGTAATTGGAAGTGTATGTTGGGAAATAAACGAGTAACAAGTACTTTCCCTATAACCAGATTAGTGAGAATGCGAAATAAAAGCTGAAAAATAATACCCGAAATTGATAACGGAGTTCAGCCAATTTGCTTACGTCTCCGGACTGCTGCAGATCTTTTACTAAGAGAGAAAATTTACTGGTGTTTACAAAACACTCACTACTCACAAGAAAGCTCTCTAGTATTGGGAGAAAGAAATCATTTTTGGGATTTTGGGATGATTTTGAAGCTAAATGGGTTAGGGTATTTATAGTTGAAACTTAAGGACTAATCTTATAAATACCCGAAAGTCCAGTGACTAATTATAATTACCCCATTATAATTTTTCAACAAACATCTACCAAACTTTGAAAAATCATTTTTCAAAGAAACATTTACCAAACTTTGAAAACCATTTTCAAAGGAACATTTACCAAACTTTGAAAACCATTTTTTCAAAGTTAGTTGCCAAACTTTGAACTAATACTTTTAACAATCTCCCACTTGAAGACTGATTTTAATATGTCTTCACACCTCGATCGATGCATCAACATTTCTTATCTTGTTATTCTAGCATGCCAACTGAAGTTGAACACAACTTTAGTTTGTTTGTGGTCACCGTCTTTATCAACATGTCTGTCGGATTTTGAGCTCCACTAATCTTTTCAAGTTTCAAAATCCCATCTTCCAGAAGAGACCGGATAAAATGATATCGCAATTGTATGTGCTTCGTCCTGGAATGAAAAGACGGATTCTTTGCTAGATGGATAACGCTTTGATTGTCGCAATACAAGACATTGTTTTCTTGTTTCTTGCCTAACTCTTCCAAGAAACTTTATAGCCAAACCATCTCCTTGCTGGCTTCCGTAACAGCGACATATTCTGCTTCACTTATGGAGAGAGAAACTATCTTCTGTAGTTGAGAAACCCAACTCACTGCAGTACCTCCTAGAGTATAGACATACCATGTAGTGCTCCTTCTGATGTCAAAATTTCCGGCTAAGTCAGCATCTACATAGCCTGTCAGTATCATATCTCCACCTTTGAAACAAAGTGTTTTATTTGTGGTACCCCGCAAATATTTGAGGATCCATTTGACAGCTTCCCAGTGTACCTTGCCCGGATTATTCATGTACCTGCTAACACTTCCCACTGCATGAGAAATAAATGGTCTAGTATAAACCATGACATACATCAGGCTTCCAATTGCTGAGGCATACAACACCTTCACCATGTGTACACGTTCTTCCTCCGTCTTTGATGAGTGTTCTTTGGAAAGTTTAAAATGAACACCTAAAGGTATACTTACTAGTTTAGCATCTTGCATGTTGAACCTGGAGAGTACTTTGTTGATATACTTAGCCTGTGATAACATCAAAGTCCCCGACTTTGTGTCTCTCTCAGTCCTCGTCCCAAGAATCTGCTTTACAGCGCCCAGATCCTTCATAGCAAACTGCTTCGACAATTTTTAGCTTCAAGTTTATAATCTCTTGCATGTCTGAGCCTGCAACGAGCATGTCATCAACATACAACAATAAAATAATGAAGTTGTTGTCGAACCTCTTGATGTAGCAACAATGATCTGCTTGGCATCTGGTAAAACCACTGCTACTCATGAAGCTATCGAACTTCTTGTACCACTGTCTAGGAGCTTGTTTTAAACCATACAAGCTCTTCTGCAACCTGTATACCAGGTTTTTCTTGCCTGCCTCTATGAAGCCTTCTAGCTTCCTCATATAGATTTCTTCCTCTAAATCACCATGAAGGAAAGCTGTATTTACATCTAACTACTCAAGATGTAAATTCTCTGCAGCTACAATTTTCAACACCAGTCTGATTAAAGACAATTTCACAACTGGAGAGAAAATTTCATTGTAGTCAATACCTTCTTTTTCCTGAAAACCTTTGACAACCAATCTTGCTTTGTAGCGTTTGATCCCATCGTGCTCTTCTTTGATCCTGTAAATCCACTTGTTGTGGAGCGTTTTCTTACCTGGTGGTAATTCAGCTAATTCCCACGTCTGATTTGACATAAGCGAGTCCATCTCATCTTTCATAGAAGACTCCCACTTGACTAAATCCTCCACTTGCATTGCTTCATCATAGCACTCTGGTTCACCATTGTTAGTTAGTAACAAGTAGTGCAAAGAAGGCGAATAATGCTGGGTTGGTTTAGGAATTCTGTAGGAGCGTCTTAGTTCCAGTGTGCCTGGTTCTTCTTGAACTGCTTCAGAACTGATCTGAACATCATTTCCAGAAATCTCCTTGAACTCAGCAAATTCCTTGTTTCAGCTTTGGTATTGGAGCTGCTTGATTCTATGGTTGACCTGTCTTTGTACATCACATTTTCATTGAAAAGGACATCTCTGCTTCTGATGATCTTCCGATTTTCGTAGTCCCAAAATCGGTAACCGAACTCATCACCACAAAAACCAATAAAGACACATTTGTTGGACTTAGCATCAAGTTTACTTCTTTCAGCAGAGTCTATGTGTACATAAGAAATACAACCAAACACTCTAAAGTATGAAAGGTTTATTTCTTTCTTGCTCCAAACTTCCTCTAGTATTATGCCATCCAAAGGAACTGAGGGCCCACGGTTAATCATGTAAGCTACAGTATTGATAGCTTCAACCCATAGAAATTTGGTAATTCGGTATGTATCCTCATGCTTCTGACACGTTCATTCAGAGTTCTGTTCATGCGCTCTGCTACGCCATTCTGCTGCGGTGTCATGGGAACTGTTGTCTCCATTTTGATCCCATTATTTGCGCAGAAATCTCTGATTCTCTTATTTTTGTACTCTCCTCCATTGTCAGACCTCAACCGCTTGACTTTCCGACCAGTCTCATTTTCCACCATGGCCTTCCATTTTCTGAAGGTATCAAAGACTTCTGATTTCTTCTTCAGAAAATAAACTCACACCTTCCTTGTAGAATCATCGATGAAGATGACATAATATAATGAGCCTGCAAGAGATGGAACTGGAGATGGTCCCCATACATCAGTATGGATCAACTCTAACCTTTCTACCTCGAGTGTCTTGCCAATCTTTGCAAAACTGACTTTCTTTTGTTTGCCAAAGATGCAATCCTCGCATAGTCTAACATCTATATTCTTTAGATCCGGTAGCTTCCCTTTTGACAAAAGTATCTTCATCCCTTTCTCGCTCATATGGCCAAGCCTATGGTGCAACAGATTTGATTTTCCATCAGCATCTGCGACTGCAATGATATTCTCTAAACTTGAGGTTACATAGAGAGTACCAGTCTTCTTACCACTAGCAATGACGAGTGCTCCTTTGGTAATCTTCCATTCACAGCCTGAAAAGGTTGTACTATAACTTTCTCCATCAAGTTGTCCTACAGAAATCAAATTTCTTTTGAGGCCAGGAATATGTCTCTCCTGTCAGCTTCCAGGTGATCTGGTTTGGCAGCTTTATTCGGATGTCTCCTTTTCCGACGATATTCAAGGATTCATCATCAGCTAGATGAACCTTCCCAAAATCACCACTGACATAGTTCTCCATGATTTCTCGGCATGGGGTGGAGTGGAAAGATACCCCTGAATCCAAGATCCATGATTTAATTGGACTGTTGATGCTTAGAATCATGGCATCATCTATCTCCTCTGTCATGTTTGCAGATTCCTGTGCGCTGGTATCTTTCTTCAGTGCTCGGCAATCCCTTTTAAAGTGACCATTCTTGCCACAATTATAACAGGTAAAATCTTTCTTTCCCGTTCTTGATTTTCCCCGTCTGGATTTTGATCTGCCACAATTTGAATTTCTTTCTGAAGTTCTCTCTCTGGACTCCGTGTGCAAGGCTGAGGAGGTTGATGCTTCACCCGATTCTCTCCGTCGAATTTCTTCGCTCAGTACCAGATCCCGAACATTGTCGAATTTTAATTTACTATTTCCCGACGAGCTGCTAACTGCTGTAACAGTAGCATTCCAATTGTCTGGTAGAGATGATAAGAGAATTAAAGCTCAAACTTCATCATCGAATTCAATTTCCACGGAACTCAACTGGGTTGTGATTGTGTTGAGTTCATTCAGGTGTAGAGCCACTAATGCCCCTTTCGTCATCCGCAAATTGAATAATTGCCTCATCAAGTGAACTTTGTTTGAGGCCGATAGCTTCTCATACATACTGGAGAGAGCTACCATAAGACCCAAAGTGGTCTTTTCCTTTGCTATGTTGAAAGCAACATTGCGGGATAACGTCAGTCGGATAACTCTGAGGGCTTGTCTATCGAGAAGAGCCCAGTCTTCATTCTTCATGCCCTCTGGTTGCTTTCCTGAGAGGGGTTGATATAGATTTTTCTGGTACAGAAAATCTTCACTCTGCATCTTCCAAAAGTCAAAGTTTGCACCATCGAACTTTTCAATTTTCACCTTCCCTTCGTCTGCAGCCATCGCTCCCACTTGAATCTGGCTTCGTTTGGATCGTTTCTGACAATTTTTACGAACCACCGTGTATTAGAACACCTCCGTCGACAAATTCGTATCGCCGATCGAATTTTACTATTCACGAATTCACTATTTATGTGAATAGTAATGAATAGTAACCTCGCAAAAATTTGACAAAATTCACAACAAAAAGCTCTGATACCAGTTGTTGGGAAATAAACGAGTAACAAATACTTTCCCTATAACCAGATTAGTGAGAATGCGAAATAAAAGCGGAAAAATAATACCCGAAATTGATAACGGAGTTCAGCAATTTGCTTACGTCTCCGGACTGATGCATATATTTTACTAAGAGAGAAAATTTACAGGTGTTTACAAAACACTCACTACTCACAAGAAATCTCTCTAGTATTGGGAGAAAGAAATGATTTTTGGGATTTTGGGATGATTTTGAAGCTAAATGGGTTAGGGTATTTATAGTTGCAACTTAAGGACTAATCTTATAAATACCCGAAAGTCCAGTGACTAATTATAATTACCCCATTACAATTTTTCAACAAACATCTACCAAACTTTGAAAAATCATTTTTCAAAGAAACATTTACCAAACTTTGAAAACAATTTTCAAAGAAACATTTATCAAACTTTGAAAACCATTTTTTCAAAGTTGGTTGCCAAACTTTGAACTAATATTTTTAACAATCTCCCACTTGAAGACTGATTTTAATATGTCTTCACACCTCGATCGATGCAGCAACATTTCTTGTCTTGTTATTCTAGCATGCCAACTGAAGTTCAACACAACTTCAGTTTGTTTGTGGTCACCGTCTTTGTCAACATGTCTGTCATATTTTGAGCTCCACTAATCTTTTCAAGTTTCAAAATCCCATCTTCCAGAAGAGACCGGATAAAATGATATCGCAATTGTATGTGCTTCATCCTGGAATGAAAAGACGGATTCTTTGCTAGATGGATAGCGCTTTGATTGTCGCAATACAAGACATTGTTTTCTTGTTTCTTGCCTAACTCTTCCAAGAAACTTTGGAGCCAAACCATCTCCTTGCTGGCTTCCGTAACAGCGACATATTCTGCTTCAGTTGTGGAGAGAGAAACTATCTTCTGTAGTTGAGAAACTCAAATCACTGCAGTACCTCCTAGAGTATAGACATACCCTGTAGTGCTCCTTCTGATGTCAACATTTCCGGCTAAGTCAACATCTACATAGACTGTCAGTATCGTATCTCCACCTTTGAAACAAAGTGTTTTGTTTGTGGTACGCCGCAAATATCTAAGGATCCATTTGACAGCTTCCCAGTGTACCTTGCACGGATTATTCCTGTACCTGCTAACAGTTCCCACTGCATGAGCAATATCTGGTCTAGTACAAAACATG